ATGTTCAGCAGTAGGATGATAGGATGAAAACTGGAATTGGTGGAGAGGTAGATGAAGAACAAAGAGAAAGCTGAATGTGGATCATATGCATCCAGAAGTTTTACCAGGTGCTCATCATGGTGTTAGGAATGTGTGACCTCCTATGTACATATGTCCATGTCTCTTAAATGCTAAAGAGGCAGACAGGTTTGTTTCAGTGCCTTAAACCCTGCTTGTCATTTAGCTGTATGAATCCTTTCATATAGCCATTCCTACATGTAAAAGGCATTTTACTAAGAAGTGAAAATATAGCCAACCAGCACGTCATCTGAGCTACACAGCACCGGGCAATCAGTTCGAAGGACTTTGCCATTGAGTTGATTGGTAGTTCTGGTCTCTTGCAAGCAGATCCTTTGTTGCCCTTCAGTTCACAATAGTAGCCAAGTCCGTTTGAAGAACTGTGTTCCTGGGCCTGCTAAGCTCCTAGGGAGCAACTTGAATTTTGGATAAATGAGCTCTGTTGAAGTCCATTCTGCAAGTGGCTAAATTGACTACGTGTGTCCTGCATGGGCTCCAAGAAGAAATAAATGCAAAAAAAGTAGATCAGAAATATCACTGTGTTGTTTTTATTTATTCAACCTACTTATTTAATCTTTAGTAGCTTTTATGCCACGCCCTGCCCCCAGGTACTAGGTTAGGCAGGATCTGCAATAGATATAGCAGTAAAACAGACAAATATCTGTGCCTTCAAAGAGCTTACATTTTAATGGAGAAAGGAGGGACCCCAATAGACAAAACAAATAAGTAAAATACTTGGTATGGTAGGTGATGAAAGTCCTCTGGGAAAGAAATAAAAGCAGGGAAGGAGATTGGAGTGGGTTTTTTGGGGGGATAGGGGGGTAGGGAGATGAAATATTAAATAAGATAGTAAGTGAGGGCCTCACTGAGAAAGTAACATTTGAGTAAATACCTAAAATGGAGAAAGAATGTTTCAGGCAAAGAAAACAGCAAAATGTATGAGGTGGCAAGTGCCTGGATTTTCTTAGAACAGAAATGTGGCTGGAGAGTGACAAAAAAATGAAAAGGAGAGCAGTGAGAGTTGATATCACAAAGATAATTGGGGGAGAGAATATATTGAAACCTGGGCCATTTTAAGGACTGTGTTGAGTAATTTCGAACAGGAAAAACTAATTCTGGAGTTCTAAAGGACTCTTCTTTGAGAAAAACATCTTAAGATTTCAAATAACATTTTCATATTGGTCTACCCTTTCTTTTGAGGGTGGTGCTTCCTGGATCCTCTTGGTCCCATTGTAGAAACCCTTTTAGTCTAAAGAAATTGACTATCACTTCTCTGAGAATGAAGAGGCTTCTCCAGAAGATTCACTGAAGGCAGTCTTTGTGCCATCCAGAAAGGCTTATAGTAAGATCAATGTGGAAATTTGAAAAAAACATTTTCCAGAACTTGAGGAGAGAGTAATGCATTGAATTCATTTTTTTTTTTTATACAAAACCTTCACTAGGAAAAATAAAGCTTTCACGTGAGAATTTTTAAGATATTCCGACTTTCATTCCTTTGCAACTAAAATACTACTCAACAAATGCCATCTCTTGAAACAGAATATGATTTTTTTGGGCAAAGAAAGAGAAGAAACACTGAATAAGCTCTTTGTGGGTCTTCCACATAATATATTTTTTTTACCATCCATATTATTGGGGTAGCTTTTAGTTACCTTCTTGAATATTCTTGAAGTGGTCTTTTCAACTGGAGTTTATGTATTACATTAGCTCACAGAGGAGTAAAAACTGTGAGGACAGTTAGATAAAAATAATTTGGCATCACTAAGTCAATGGTGGCCTCACTATCAGAACCAGTGTTTAATTTTATATAGTATGCAATCACAGGTCTGGAAACTTGGGTTTTCATTCTGACTATGCTGTTAACTGCCACTTTACTATATAAAGTAAATACTATCCAACATTTACTGAATCTTAGTTTTCTCACCTGGACAGAAAGCAGTTGGATGAATAATAATTATAACTTTTCTTGTTAAAAGCATTTATGAAAATCAGCTGCCATGGATAGAGTTGTGTCCAGGTTCTCTAAAAAGCTCAATGCTCAGAAATTCATTAGGATTATCATACCCAGAGATGTTAACTACATGGCATAGTACTACACTTCCCCATTTTTGTTCCCATAGACATTACAAACAGACCACAATACTTATCCCTATTGAGTCAATCAGAACTCAGCATTGATCAGAATCCTTAAAAAAATATATAT